TAGCCAAGTCCGCCACACGACTCTGATCCGAGGGCTGATCTCAGTTTAAGAGACGACGTCAGAAAGTCCATTTCTTATCGCACTGACCAGCTGTTTGACCTCAGTAGTGACAGTGAAGATACAGAAGAAAACACCTCCATGTTCATCGTAGATCATGGAGGTGTTTTCTTCGGAGGAGTGTCGCAGGTGTGTCTTATCTGTAAACGTGAAAAACAAACAGACTTTCTGATGAAACATTAAGACTGAAAACTTCTCAGCAGAGCTCACACTAAGACCGAGACTCTAAACTCTGCAGAGAACAGAAGCTCAGACTGTTCCGTGTTGCTCAGTCACTCACACAGCCTCACTGCCTACACACTGAAACATGGTCCTCTGTCACAGATGGTGAAATAATGCTGTTGAAACTTCCAGATTTCTCTTTAGTTATCGACTAAATCCCATCAGATGAGAATAAATCTCCGTTTTTCTTGTTTTTATTGCAGCTGGAGGCTTTTCTCCGGATGACTCATAAATCCATGAATAGATGTTGACAGCAGCCGCTCTTATTGTGCCTCTGAACCAATTTGTTGGAGCATGCAGAAGTCTGACGGACTCTAAAGGAAGCTGACATGTGTCTCCTAAAACAAAATCAAGTCATTTGCGTTCGTTGGAGTCTGAGTCTTTTCAGAAAATCAAACCAGCTGAGCTCTTTTGTGTCTTTGTGAAACGCTGCCGTGACTTCCCCCTCAACAATAATTTACATACATTTACATCTTTTAAATTTGCAGAGTGGGAGGATACACATCCATCAGCGCAGACTCCTCTGATCGCTGCTAACATCCCGCCGCAGAGCGGAGCGGAGAGGAGGGGAGCGTGGAAAAGCTGTGAAGCACTCAGGATATCAAAGTGAGAGTCTGTAAGGAGCCACTTAGCCTCTGTGCCGCTTTAAACACTCCAGATGATTCAACCGCCGCACATCAGCCGGTCCTGCTTGACTCGTTTAAACCTCCGCTTATCGGCGTTGGAGGGAGAGCAGACGTGAAGCTGCATCACTAATATCAGAAAACTCGGATGGCGGACGTGTCGCCAACTTCGATAAAAACTCTGACGTGTTTGAGGACACGGCTGCAGATTCATCTCCTTTGAATAATGAGCAGATCTCTGAGTTTATTCTGTTCAGGAGTGTGAAAATGGAACCTCCGTCTCCTGGTCCGCTCTCGCTGAACCTCGCCAATTCATCAACTGGAGATCAAGGTTGTGAAAACTTCTGTTCAAACTGAAGATGTGGTCGGCAGCAGGGCAGAGCTCATGGACTAGGACCAGGCCGAGTCCCTTACACAACCTGGAGAACCTGTGGATGGAGGTGATTTAGAGGGTTTACCCCCAACCTCCACCTTCATCCTGATCGTCTCCTAAAAGGTCGTATCCTCCGATCGTAGCTGATCGTAACCATTCAAGTTAACGTGTCAATTTACACCGACTTCTTTCCGTTCCTCTGCGGATCGCCGGACTCCTCAGCTGATCACAAGAGTTCTATTTTTTCTGGACGCCGGAGCATGGCGGATAAATTCAGCACAGATTAACCCGTGCTGGAAAGGAAGTCGGGCACAGACACAAAATAAAACATCCGGCTTCTTTTCAAAATAAAACACTCCGTGTTTCAGGAGGATCGTATTTCACACCATGCAAACGGGCGGAGACGAACAAGTGAAAGGTTTTTAGACGTCATTTCACCCCGATGACACCATGGATGAGGAGATGCTGATTCTAGAAGTCTAGAAGTAGATTTCCTCCTCTGGAAGGACACAATCTACTGCTTATATGTCTATGTGTCTGTCTTTAGAGAGACAACTTGTTATCGTGAGATTGAATGTGAATCTGAAGGTTCTTGTGAGTTCTCACCATTACCTCTGTAATCCGCCAAGAAATTCGCCTCACCAACGGATCTGGTAGGAATTGGCAGATGGCGAAAATTGTCACCGTTCCAGATGCGGTGAAAGTTTGGGTTTATCGTGATCGCAGCCCAGCAGACATGGTTTGTTAGGATTCGATTTGTCAACTTGTCGTCCTCGCCTCAGAAATACAAACTTTAGCCCACGCTCTGCACCATGTCCGACCAAACAAACCGAACATGCACTGATGTGATGAACTCTTCCATCTGTTAATACGAGTATTCGCCGGGTTTAAGTGTCGTGAATTTGATCCTGGACGTCTGTATCAGGTGTCGGCAGGTCTCGATAAACTTTCCGTTTATATTTCCTTTCAGAAATAATCGGTTCTCTGGGCTGACAGATATTTGACAGATCAGACAGAGACTCTTATTCCTGATCGTTTCCAACAGAGACGTTTGACAGTTTCATTACCGCTCAGCTCGATACAAATCAAGCTTTGGTGAATCGATGCTTCACGTCTTCACCTGTTTATCTGCAGGTTTTCATCTCTAATCTCTTAATCCTTTTCTCCTTCCTCGATGTGATTTTTCTCCTCCACTTTTAATCCCTAAATCTTTGCTCTCCCCTGTTTCTCTGCTCGTGGTTAGCCGACTCTCTCTCTCTCTCTCTCATTATGCAGATGATGCTGTTGTTTATCATGCAGGAAGAAGTCGAGCCTCATCATCATCATCATCCTCATCATCATCAGTTTCTCACTCTTTAAAACAGACTGACGCTCATCTCTCGGCTCTTTTTCTGCTCTAAGTTACAGGATTTATTCTGAACTGTTTTGTAAATCCTCTTGAACGAGGAACGTCAACACTCTGAATATTCACTCAGTAAAAAGCTCTTAAACGGGTCCTTTAAAATCAACATTATCATACAGACTCAGAGAGAGAGAGAGATCAGGATACAGAGCTTTAGTTTACTCCTTACATCCTTGGTGGTTGTAGAAGCGAGTCTTTAAATGATGTTTTTATACGGAGTCTCATATTATCCGTGTCCCCGGTCCGAGCGCGCACACCTCTGTGTCTTCAGGACGTCTTATTGCCGTCGTCTTTATGGTCCCTGTTGCTGTGATATTACCGTTGAAATGATGCTCCTCTGTGCAGCAGCGAGGATCTAAAGGGTCTAACAGAGTTCACTGACTATCGGCGGCTTCTTCAAGTCTCTGTGCCGAGTGTCTCGCTGATTTAATCAAATCACACTCCGGGGTTCTTCGCCGTGTAGGTGGGCTGAATAAATCACCTGTGGGTCCACGAACTGACCGGATCACTTAGAGGAAAGAAACCTTTACTGTGAAAGAACTTCTGAGAGGTTTAATTCAGGAGTTTTACCTCAGAAACAGACGAGAGTCTCAGTCGGAGTTCTTCTCGATGAAGAGGACCAGGACGCTCTGCTGGCTGATCCTGTTGAATTAAAAACAGATGATAGCAGGTTTGTGGAGGGACAGCATGACTGTGATGAAACATACAACACGCCAAAAAGTCGGCATGATACAAGTCGGTACTTCTGAGGTATAAACCGGTCCTTTAAACGAAAATACTGAACATAGATGCCGTCAAAGTGGAGAAAGTCGTTTTACTTGTTTAAGAAACACCAAACTTTGATGGTTTGGCTGTTATTGATTATTCAGACTGTTAATGAGGATATCAAACTACCACACTGATGATACCCATGACAGTCATACTTATTTATTTACATCACTAAAGTGCATTAGTGGTCAGTGAAGGCAAAAACTTGTTTGTTTAAAACCAGCAAACACGTCAGAAATACCAGTACTGCATCAGAATAACCAGCGCACGCCTCAAAATGAGTATGTCTCTGAACTACAAACCTTAAAATGACCATTGTACGTATTTGCCTCCATGAGCCCCAGAACGACCACCATGTTCCTCAGTGTGAACGTCATATCCTCAGATCTACCAGTTCAAACCACAGAGATTCCAGCATGAGCCTCAGATCTAGTATAACTGACTACAAACGACATCTGCAGAAGAACCGACAGACACATTCTTCCTGACTATGTCTCAACCCAATTTCCATCACATCCGGAACGGCTATGAAACGGTCATATCCGTCGATCGAAAGTTAACGTGTCAATTTACACCGACTTCTTTCCATTCCTCTGCGGATCGCCGGACTCCTCAGCTGATCTCAAGAGTTCTATTTTTTCTGGACGCCGGAGCATGGCGGATAAATTCAGCACAGATTAACCCGTGCTGGAAAGGAAGTCGGGCACAGACACAAAATAAAACATCCTGCTTCTTTTCAAAATAAAACACTCCGTGTTTCAGGAGGATCGTATTTCACACCATGCAAACGGGCGGAGACGAACAAGTGAAAGGTTTTTAGACGTCATTTCACCCCGATGACACCATGGATGAGGAGATGCTGATTCTAGAAGTCTAGAAGTAGATTTCCTCCTCTGGAAGGACACAATCTACTGCTTATATGTCTATGTGTCTGTCTTTAGAGAGACGACTAGTTATCGTGTGATTGAATGTGAATCTGTGGTTTCTTTTGAGTTCTTGTGATTCCTGCTAATCGCCCTGAAATTCACCTCACGAGTTCTGGTAGGAATTGCCGATTATTGATCCTTTACTGACGACTTTGTGTTGTTTTAAAGTGAACGGTTCAAGTCTGAGTGTATCAGGTCAGACGGGTCTCTCTAAGGTCAGATCTACTTAAACTTTCAGACTAACTCAGAATTATTTCGTGTTTTTAACAGAGTTTAATTGTCGTGTTTGTCGATTAGTCGTCCACTTAGTGAATCGTCTGTCTTCAGGCTGAATTTGACTTTATTTACTTCCATCACGACTCTCTTCCTGGTTTGGCGAGTCTTTGGCGAGGTCACCGTCCTGAACAGCTGTAGTTTGCGAGTATCAGCCCACTGCGGCTCAGCTGATCGGTGCGACGTTGTGAGAGGGCGCGACGCTCACGGAGAGGACTTTGTAGATCTGATTTCAGCCGGTGGAGACCTCTCTGGTCTGAGGATCTGTGCAGACATCAGAGGATCTCGTTACGCAGCGGTGGAGCTTCTCTGCGCTCAGACTCAAAGCCCTCGATTTTGTCACGACTGGAGGAAAGAGCAGATCTGCTGGTAATTATCCAGCCCACCTACAGTTTATAATCTGAGCCAGGCTGTGAAGATGTTCCTCACGCTGGAGTTCGGATTCAAACAGATGAGTAATTGGACGGCAGAGTTTGTCCGGCTAATTACGAGCCCACCTACGGCGTCTAGGAGCGCACAGAGCCCACTTCCACTCCCCTCGTCTTCTCTTTCATTAATCTGTTGAAGATCTAATGAACACGGCTATTTTCACTCAAGTGTGGGCTTGTTAATGAGCAGATCAGACGTTCGAGCGAACAGCTCATTACAAACAATTAACACTCGAGAGCGCGCGTCCTCTTCATCCCCGACACAGAGAGGAGGCGGGGGCTCGTCTCAGAGGTCCAATCAGCCTTTTTAACAACAAGACGAAGACGTGTCGACGCGAGACAATCAGGAGAACCGAACTGAAGCTGTTAGAAGAAAACCTCGATGAGCAGAGATCGTTTTGAGAAGAAAGAGATCTGATTTGGACGAAACCATCGACAGTATTAAAGGAGTGAACTTTAGATTATGAGAGTCTGAACGAGACATTTTTACTGATCCAGATTATGTTTGATTGATGACAGGAAATCACTCAGCGTTGTTGCTAATTGATGTCGAGTTTTGTTAGATGTTCTTGTTGGTTTCCTGTTTTCCTGGTTTTGTATTTTCTCTGTTTGGTCGTCTGGTGAGTTTTCACCGTCTCCTCGGTTATTTCGTCGTTCCTTCTCCTTGTGTGTCTGGCTTAGTCTGACTTCCTGTTTTATTTTGTAGGAGTTGATCCTTGTGTGTCTGGATTAGTCTGACTTCCTGTTTTATTTTGTAGTAGTTGATCCCTGTGTATCTGGTTTGACTTCCTGTGTTGTCCCTCCTCAGTGATTGTCTCACCTGTGTCTCGTTGTCTCAGAGTTGAATCTCTACACAAGAAACAACTTCATAATCCAGACACTTTGTTTTATCAGCTGTTTGATTCTCATTCGCCCAATTTGTCTTGATAAAATCGTAAAGGTTGTCCAGTCTGGTTGTCAGGGTGACCAAAAAAAAAACACAACTACACGGGGGCGGAGTCACGGGGTCGTATGAAGTTCATTTTGAGAGTTCTTCGAGTCAGATCGAGTGTCTTTCACGTGCTTCTAACTCAGTAAATCCACGCGACACAAACTCGAAACTTCCGTACTAAACCTCAGACATTTGAAGGATTTTATAAACTTCCCCAGAAAAAGACGGACAGTCCCCAGAAAAGAGGACATGTCCGGGTAAAAGAGGACGTATGGTCACCGTACCAGTCTGCCCTTAAGAGCTCTAGTGTAAACATATCTGTAGAAATCACAGACTCTAGAGCTCCCCCTACTGACTGGCTGCAGAATAGGTCATAAACCCCGCCCCCATTCTTCCCTTTGGTGTCCATAAGATGATTGACAGCTCCTGGATTAGTGAAGTGTGCGGTGGATCGTACCAAACTGAGGGGTGGTGGATGTTTTACAGGAAACTTCATGTTTGTTCTGTTGTGTCGGGTTCACACCGAATCCTGAGTGATTTTGGAAACACCAGAGAGACGATATTTGACGATAAATGAAGATGGACGATTTCTAGACTCGAGATATTGTAAAGTCTAACCCTGATTCTCCACTGCATCCGAAACAGCTCCGATCTGAAACGGCTGCGATTTTTGCCGTCTACCAATTCCCAACGGATCCGTTTTAGAGTAAACAAACATGGTGGACCGCAGCAGGAGTCAGGATTCGCTAACCCTCCACTCAGTGTCTCCTGGATGTCATTGCAGAAACATGCAAAGTTCCTCTTTTTGCTCCTTCATACGTCAAATCTTCAAATCTTCCGGCAACATGATTGGCCAGTTAAACCAGAACTACAAAGTCAAACCAGAACCTGTCTTGTGCTGAAAAACCAGAACTCCAAGAACATGTGAGGAGGGTGTTCAGACCACTTCAGGAGGTCTTCACGGGGTCTGCTTTCCATGAACAGACCCAGCATGACCCCTTAATGATGACTGTCTTTAGTCTCCATCAGGTCTGAGTCTTTACCTTCTTCTCTATCAGGACCAAAGATCTTAATTAATCCTCAGAGTCGTCTGGTTTCTGCCGTGGCTAAGACCTCCTCCTCCTCCTCCTCAGCTCTCCTCCTCCTCCTCCTCCCTGATAAGAGCTCACAGGGGTGAGAGTGAAAAATCTATTTACTGTTGGATGGCAGAGCTGTAAGGTGGAGGGATGTGATAGCTGATATGCATCAGGAGGAGCTCTGACTCCTCTGTGTGGAGGCGAGCTGGAAACAGATAATCCTCCAAAAACCTGTTCTCTGCAGGCAGCCATGTTTTCAAAGTTGTCCTCAGAAACGGCGGCTGTTATTCCTCGCTCACAGATTAGCTCTGTTTCTGCAGGGACTGTTCTTTTCCATTAAAGATTAAACTCTCTTATCTCCTTTTTAAGAAGGAAAGGTTGGAGGAGTCGAGGTGCTCCTAAACCCGGGCTGTGACACTCTTTCCAAACTTCTCCCTCCACCTCTCTGCAGCTTCATAAAACCTCCACCCTCCTTCGATCTTCTCCTCCGTGTGAAGAGTCAGTCGATCAGAGACGAGTGACGTCCATCAGTGCGAGCGCACGAGGACGATAAACATGGGAAAATCGAACGCTTTTAGCAACTGGCAAATGAAAAAAGGATGCAAAAAAAAAAAAGTCACGACGGAAGTTACTGACGCACCGGTGTTTCACGATGTAGGCACAGAAGACGACGGCGAGAAGACGAGCAAATTTATTTCACTTTGTGACCATGTAGCGCCTGAGTCGTTGTGAAGTTAAACTGAAGTTAACGCTACAACGACATCCTAAAGTTCAACTTCATATGGACTCAGGCTCTACATGGTCTAACCAAACGACACACTGAAAGTTTAGGAAGTGAAATTAAACAATAACCTTTCCACTAACTTCTTAACTCATCTTCTCGCCGTCGTCTTCTGTGCCCAGATCGTAAAACAGCGGCGCATCGTCATGATTTGTCCCCGGCAGCTCACTTCTGTTTTGGCTTTTTTTATTTGCATCCTTTTATTTTCACAGTAAGTAACTTTTTATTATTATTATTTATGCATCACCACTTTTTTTCGCGCCGTTAACTTCCGTTGCGCCTTTTTTTTAATCTGCACTATTTCTTTTTTTTTTAATATTTGCAGCGGGCTTCGGTTTTTTGTTTGTTTGTTTTTTTGCATCAGTAACTTCCGTCGCGGCTTCCTTTTTTTTTGCATTCTTTCATATTTGCAGCAGTGGCGGTTCTCAGCCTCCGTAGGAAACAGGCTGTCCTCATCAGCTTCAGCTTTGGAGAGATAAGAGATAAGACAGACACGAAAAACTGTCCGAACAGCTGCGTGGTCCTACATGAGGTTATTTTTTTACTTTTTTCCGACTTCCCTGATTGTATGCAGTGATAATAATGATAATAATGGTTATCGGCTGCAGCATGTTGTCCTAGATGTGAAGGTTCAGTTGGATGCAGAGGTGGAAAAACACCACAAACACGAACTTGGCGAGTGCTCCAGGAGAACCTTATCCTGCTCAGTGTTTCTGCCTGTAAAGGAGGAAAAGGAGATCGTCTTCTTCTTCTTCTTCTTTTTCTTCTTCTTCTTCTTCTTCTTCTGTGGTGTCTTGTTCGCAGCCTCGGCTCATTTACAGCCTCGTGTTCTAATAGGAGATCGTTTAGAGAAGATGCTGCCAGATGCCCTCACTCCTCCTTCCTCCTAAACGACTTGGACTCGTCTCCGCTCCATGTTTTGGAGGTGTTTGTTGGAAAATGGCCTTTTTTATGAAATCATCTCTAATTATCTCAGCGGGCGGCCTCTTCTTCTTCCTGCAGGTATCACCTAAACTGTCCCATTACAGCTTCCTTCAGCTAAACTCTCATTTACCCTGCGACTCAGCTCCAGGCTGACACTCAGGCCTCCTATTGGCTGACGTCTCTCTCGCAGAGATGCTGAAGCTATTTTCTGCTCAGCGGGGGCCTCGTCTCATTCCCTCTCAAATTACTCTGCTTTTCTTTCCTTGTTGCGCTCTCCTCCATCCAATTTTGCCAACTTTTCTGCCCTTTTTTCTGCACTCTCACTCGATTAAACGGGGTCTCAGAGAGTCGATGTGAAATGACACTGATATCAGCAGTCCCGGCGGCGATTATTGATCAATTTAGCTCCAATTTGACTTCAGCTGAGGTGACAAGCAGAGCGACAAAGCTGCTCTGCTCGCTGTGGATTCGCTGTGGCATTAGCCTGACATCTGTTGTGTGTTTTGGTGCCTGATAAGTCCCTCAGAAAACAGTTTTATTAAGCTGAGCTGCAGAGGAAATAAACTGTGTAAATATGTCCACAAATCTCTCAGGCACACACACGGGTTTCCCTGAAGTGACAGCGGGATTTATACGCAACAGGAGAGGAGAGTGGAGGATGGTGGAGGGGATGTTTTCACCAGAACATGATCCAGTTCAGAGTCTGCAGAAAAGAGCAGGAATTAGAGCTTCTCCAGGTTTAGTCTCTCTTGGTTGATTTTGGATTATAAAAATGTTTCTCTCCGTCTTCTTATTTGGCTGCAGCTCTGATTTCACATGTTTAATGCTGCAGGAAACCAGCTGGTGGATAGTTTTATAAATAAGTGGAGAAGAAGAGCAGAGACTCAAACCTCACGATCACAGACGTGTTCTTCTGACCCTGAACGCCTCATTTATATTCACAGAGACATTCAGGGAGCGGCACGGCTCCTACTTTCCGACACTCGGAGTCATCGTCTGTTTTAAAACATGAGATTGTTGCTTCATGTTTGTGCAGCTAACAACATTAAAACAGAATCATCATCTCTGTAGTTCTCAGTCAACCAGGTCAAAGTTTTACCCCGCAACCCCATCGGCAGTGATTTTCGCCGTACGCCAATTCCTACCAGATCCGTTTGTGAGGCAGATTTTGTGGCGGATTACGGACAGGAGGAATCGTGAGAACTCACAAGAACCTGCGGATTCACGTTCAATCACGCGATAATGAGTTGTCTCTATAAAGACAGACACATAGACATATAAGCAGTAGATTGTGTCCTTCCAGAGGTGGGAAGGATGCAGCATCTAGGATTTCTAATTCTTCGTTGAAAGGACAACTAAGTCCAGTTGTCCTTTCCAAAAGAGAGTTAGATTTTGGTTCATCAGACCTTACCGGACAAACTATATTACGCCCATGCGGTGACTCCAACTACAGAGTCCTAAACCTGCAGATATAGTTCAGCATTAATGGAGCCTTCACAGATGTGGAAGATACCCATGACATGGACTCTGAGGATCCCCAGACCATCAGGGGTGCTGGTTTTGGACTGTGTCCTTGAAGGTGGTGTCCGTGATTTCTAGAAAGATCGTCGAATTTATCTCATCTTCGCTCCAGTCCGTCTTCAATGAGTCATCAGTGTTTCTTCAGATTTCTACCATATCCGGAACAGCTCTGATCTGGAACGGCGGCGATTTTCGTTGTCCGCCGATTCCTACTGAATCCGTTTGTGAGGTGAATTTCGTGGCGGATTACGGACAGCTGGAATCGCAAAAACGCACAAGAACCCGAGGATTCACGCACAATCACGCAATAACAAGTTGTCTCTAGCCACAGAGGGTAACCGTATAATGGTGTCATGGTGTCATTGCGGTGAAATGACGTCTGAAAACCTTTCACTTGTTTGTCTCTGCCCAAATCATGTCATGTTTTATTTTGAAAAGAAGCCGGATGTTTTATTTTGTGTCTGTGCCCGACTTCCTTTCCAGCACGGGTTAATCTGTGCTGAATTTATCCGCCATGCTCCGGCGTCCAGAAAAAATAGAACTCTTGTGATCAGCTGAGGAGTCCGGCGATCTGCAGAGGAACGGAAAGAAGTCGGTGTAAATTGACACGTTAACTTGAATGGTTACGATCAGCTACGATCGGAGGATAAGACCTTTTCATTGCCGTTCCGGAGGCGATGGAAATTGGGGGTCACAGAACTTGATCCAAATCATGTCACTTCTCCTCGGATAGACTCTTGCAGGTCTGAGACTGGAGTCAGGGCCGGAAACACTGATCGAAATCCTCTGACCCGGGTCAAGTTTCAGAACATCTTTAAGTCCAGTCGTCTCTCACATTCAGATGATCTCTGCTCATGTTCCTCTCTTTTATTGTCCTCCTACGTTCGTCTGTCTTGCTGCAGTCAGGATGATCAATTCTCGGTTCTCGGCTAATTTGAAGGAAATGATCTCGTTGCATCCTCTCATAACCGGTCGTATCGGTGATTATCCGCTTCCTCTGAACCACCTACGTCATTTCTGAATCCAGTTAATCATCATGAATGTCTCATCTTTGTTGAACCACATCAGACCTCCTCCTCTCTGAGTCCGGTCTCAGCTCTGTCTCTGTAATCACATCCACATTCAGATCCCACCTGCTGGATCTAGACTCCCACCCATCTGTGCCGGCCGACAGCAGGCGGAGCGCCAGTCCGTCTGAGTGTTAAAGGTCGACTGCTGCTCTGAATCATCGTACACTTAGTATCGGCGTTAACACTGATGCAGTTTACGCTTCAAGGTCAGAGCGCGGTGATGGATTACACGTTTACCGGCTTCTGAACTTCACGAGACAGAGACGGATTCAAAGCT